TGTTACGCAGAATTTTTCCCAGTAAAGGGTCGCTCGTCTTCCCGGAGTTAATAACTGTGACTATGGCTGTATTATCACAGTAGACTTGCACTCGTAAACCAGCCCAACGCGCGCCCCACAAACGAATCTCAACTAAGAGAGCTAGAAATTCTAACTGATGAATGGCTGAAAATTGCTGAAGGACCCAATCTGGGAATGGTGCGTGGAAAACCGTGTTACCACAAATGCCGCCACATCCTGTCAAACAGGCGTCAGTCACGAAAACACAATTGGGAGCCAACCACGGAACGTTCAGGATGATCGACACTCCATTGTAGACAGCGATAAAGTCAAGCCACCAACAAATGTCTTTTCGAAATTCTGTATTCAGGGAAATTCAGTGATGATTGTGTTTAAGGCGCTTAAGAAGTTCAATAATTTGCATGAGGAAACTGCGACTGTTCTTTATGCATTTAGACACAAAAGACAGTTTTCCGAGCAAAGACACAAAAGACAGTTTTCCGATTGCAAATCTTGCTTAGTGGCCTTTGTCTTGTGTGACCACTGTCTTAGTAAATCTTGAATCTCGATTAAACGTTCTGGATGAACCGATTTCGTCATTGCCAGAGTACCAAACTCAACCCCTAAACAGGTCGTAGGTGTAGTGGGCGGATAGGCTTTGCTCTTGGACTCTTCTACTCCTTATTCGACCAGTAAGGATTGAAGAAAACAAAAGGCAGTTGCGGCTCTGTCCGGAACGTCAACGCCTTGAAAATCGTCTAGATAATTTAATACGTCAAAGCCCCGCCATGAACAAATGTACGAAATACCACTCGTTATGCATTGACAGGCCATCGCGGCCAACCACAAACCCATAGGGAGCACGACATCAAAATAGTAACCGTCATTCCAGTGAAAACCCAATAATGGGAAGTCATAAGAATCAATGTAAAATTGTCGATAGGCTTTGCGCAAATCACACTTATAAATCAAACAACCTGGTCCCTTCTGAGCTATTAGACTAGCGATGTGATCCACCGTAGGATATGTCAGGGAAAACTCCACCCCTTCGTGCAGCGATTTATCTATTCCAGCGTTGACAGACGTGTTCAAAGGCTAACTCAGGTCAAGAATAATTCGCCGTTCGGTTGAATCTTTCTTTGGAACAGAATTAAGAGGTGACACCGCCAGCTGTCCAGAAAATGGTGGAGATGAAAATGGACCTGCCACCGAATGTCTCGCAAGCTCTGCGTCAAGATAAAGGGCCAAATCACATGGATAATTGGTAGCGCCAGAGTGATTGCGTAATTGACTGACTGGAAAACCAAACTGTTCGTAATCATAACCCACTAGTCAGCCGAACTCAAGATAGTCAATGATAACATTGTCGTGATAATCACTTAGATAAGACCTCCACTGCAGAATGATAAGCTTTGAAACTAATGGTATCCGTAATCCTCTGTAATTAGGTAGACCAGAAGCAAAAACACCCTCGTGAAGCGCAACCATGTCGACACTAAATTCCTGAATATTATAGCAAGCACCAGTGTCCTGTGAAAGTGTTCGAGTTGTAATGAGAGAAGAAACAATATCCTCCTGATTGTAAGCCACGCCAGTCGTACCACGCTCACCATATATTTGTTCTTGAGAAAATGTCGGTTGGAACTCACAACTGTTTGAAAAGGAGTTCGTAAAAATATTCAGAGTGTCCTGATCAGACGAGTCCGGAAAAGATGTGTGGGAGAAATCCTGAGTGTCCTGACAACAAAATTTTTGAAAAGGTGTCCTGTGAAGATCTGGTTTGTTCTGATGACCACAGAGAGCCTGAGCAGATGTCCTGTTAAAAACATAACTGTCCTGAGAGGAGTTCCTGTTAAAATCGTGAATGTCCTGACCGCCAAATTCCTGAGGACCGGCAACAATAAAGTCTTGAATAAACGGACAGAAGTAGTGTTTTCTAGTCACTCTTTTGGTTTGTTTGGGCAGTCATCGGAATATTTGGAATGCATCCGTTTAGTCTTGTCCTTCACCCAACAAGCCGCACAAATATGACAAAGCCATTTCTTTTCTCCTTTAAGCATGGTGTAATGATCCTTAGAGTGAGAGCACGAACCCCCCTGGTACTCAGGGCAAAACAATACTGCAGTTGAAGTGGAGGGGGCGGGGCGCTTCTGGTCTTTTAACTTCTTGTGTGAACCTGCGAGGGTAAGGTTTTCCAAATGAAGAAAAGAATCCCCCCAGTTAAGTCGACCTCTCTCAATTTCTAATAAAACCGTTGCATGGAAACTACAGACGGACTGGTACATGAACTACTTGAATGAACCACCAATGGACTACCCTAAATGTAAACCCTTAAAATTTCTAACACAAAACTTTAAGAATCAGTTTGTCTGCTCAGGTTCCAATCTTCTAGGAACAATTTTTAAACTTTATCGCTTCTGCATGCATTGCGTGCCGTTTATTTATGATATTCCCCTACGTGAGCCTCCATTGCAAGCTAGTTCCAGTCTAACACAAGGAATACGAATATGGCCTGTTAACAATATATTCCACTTTCTTTTCTGCAAGTGGCAGGCCACTTATGTCTTCCAAGGGGAACCAAGTTTCCTCTCCCCCCTACCCCGTCACCCGTGAAAGGAAAGTTCTGTTTTCGGAAACCAGAGAGTTTCAAAATTGTTGGAAGTTATCTTCTTGAGACAGGAACGAAACCAGACTTGAATGTGGATATTGCTGTGGAGATGCCGAAGGTGAGAGGTTTTATGATTGCTTGACATTTTAGTTCATTCTTTGCTCCTTTACTGTACATGCATGTACATGTACATTGTACTTTGGAACACAATTTGAACATGGCAAGCTACAAGGGGTTGGCTAGGTACTTTCTGCAGGTTCATTCTGGAGTTCCTCCAATCTCACTGTTATCATTTTGAAAGGGAGAAATG